AAAAAAAAAAAACCATATATAAAAAAATGCAGACGCACACCGTTATTTTTTCCTTACTCACTTTAAAGACTTAAGGCAAACGTTGTATACCCCGGCAAAATAAAATCATCACTGAACACTGTCTGTTGACTACAGGTTAGGGTTTGGGTAAAGATTAAAGCTAGAGTTGTGGATTATAGAAGGTTTATATTTCGTCAATAGAAACAGCTGCTAGGTTTGTCCTGCGGGAGATCGACAAGTAGACTGGTGTCCTTATCAAGCCGGATTTATTAGCTCTCCTTATAATACTCTAGATTTATACATTGGAAAGGTTTTGTAAAGCGTTTCCTACAGGCTAAAAGAAATGGAAACAGGTGTCGTGGGTAAAGCTCTAAAGAGGAGTCAAAATGGCTACCAAAGTCCGAATAAAAGTGTAGGGAATGATGGGGAATATTTCTGCTAGGACGATACTGCGGCTTGCAATGCACAATCAAAATACTCCAAGTGATCAAGTTTAAAATGTTATCTGCTGCACAGGAAAAGTTTCGACTAAAATGGATACTATATTATGTGTGAGAAACATGCTTGCCAGTTAAAAGGAAGCATAGAGTAAAGATAAATTATTAATTAATTGTATAACAAAATTGAAAAGGAGGTAGCCAAAGAAAAGAGTGAGAGTGAGGTGATTGTGTTTTTGAGGAAAGGGGGGGGGGGTGCTCAACATTAGCTTGAAGGGAATTCGGGTTTCTTAACTAGGCCACACGAATAGCCTAACCACGCCAGTGCGAAACAACCCCATAATGATACTATAAGGTTGACTATCCCCTAAGCCTTAACCTACAGAAAAACTGTCTTATCAAGAGGCCATCTAAAATACCAGGCCGCATGATTTAGCACAACTTGGCAGTAGCGGTATTGCCTTTTGAGGACCATGCAAACACAGAACCCAAAAGTACTGTGTCTCAGTAAGTCTTACCACTTAGAGAACACACACGCTTTGTTAGGTAAAGAAGAATAGCTTGACCAACGGGCAGGCCTGTGTTCAAATATTGACCTAACGACTTTAGGCAACCTTACCTGGTTCACATATTACCTTGGATCTTTAACAGCAGATCTATTATAGCATTGAATACGTTTTATAAAACAGCTGCTGCTGTTCTTGAAGTGTGGTGGAGTCAACAAAGTGTCTGATCGACCAAACTGATACATTGCCTAACTGATTTCGACGACAATAGCCCGACTGGAGTATTGAGTTGACTTTTATTATTGGTTCCGTTATGATGCTGAGTGTTTTAGTTTTCAGACATCAAATAAAAAGCACATATTCTGAAATGGAAACGTGCACCCGATTTTGATTGAAATGGCTTTCCTCTTGGTGTTTAATCTAAACAGTAGGTTCTTTTATTTAAATTCCAAAAAACACAGTAACCTCAAGTTAAATAAAGTCATTAATGGCCATAAATGATTGAGTTTTTAAAAATAATATTTATTTATTATTAAAAAATGGGTTTTTTTTAGGGGGGGGGTTAAAAAAAATTAAATAGCAAAGAAATCACAAGTATATATCTATGTTAAAATGTATGAAACTTCCAGTCGGGTAAGATTTTCATCTTTTGTTTAACTCGCCCCCCCCCCTGCCCCCCCCCCCCTGCATTTGTCGAACACCCCACCTGACCACCCACCTAACCCCTTTTTTCTTATGTCTTCTTGTAACTCTCTCTCTCTTTATCTCTCTTTTTATCTCTCTCTTTCTATCTATCTATCTATCTATCTATCTATCTATCTATCTATCTATCTATCTATCTATCTATCTATCTATCTATCTATCTATCTATCTATCTATCTATCTATCTATCTATCTATCTATCTATCTATCTATCTATCTATCTGTCTATATATCACTCATTCAACCACCCCCCCCCCCTCCCCACGATCCTTTGTCTTAGCGTCGAAACTGAATTGCTGTTCCCTCTTTTTGTCTCGCACTGAACAAATTAAAGTTAAATTGAAATTGCTCTCTCACTTGCTCCCTGTGTGTGTCTGTCTCTCTTTCTATACTATTTGCTTTATTCCCCCTACCTCTTTCCCTTACTCCCTCTCTCACTATCTCTCTCTCTATCTCTCTCTCTCTCTCGCCCTCTCTATCCCTCTCCCAACTCTCTCTCACTCTCTGTCTGTCTGTCTGTCTGTCTGTCTGTCTGTCTGTCTGTCTGTCTGTCTGTCTCTCTCTCTCTCTCTCTCTCTCTCTCTCTCTCTCTCTCTCTCTCTCTCTCTCTCTCTCTCTCTCTGTGTCTGTCTGTCTGTCTCTCACTTACTCACCCAGCCCCCAAACCTATTTCCTTATTTCCTATTCGTTTGGTTTTCGAGCGTCGAAACTGTTTTGCTATTTCCCTTTTAGTCTTTCACTGAACAAATTAAAGTTCACTTTGCCCCCCCCCCCCCCTCCCAACCCTTCGGCCTCTAGTAATGTGATCTGAAACACCACAATTCTCTTCATCGCCAGATACCGACTCAAGGACGAATGCAAATTAGAGTGGCATTCAATAGATTTTGTTGTTGTTGTTGTTATTGTTGCTGTTTTTGTTAATCAGAATTAACAACATGTAAGCAACTGACATTTAAAGAGTTGGATATCTTATATCAAGGTTTCTCATAGCCACTCAGATCCAATCAAAATGTTTTTCCAACCGAGAATACAATAGCGCCTTTGTGATTGCTGTGGGCCTCTAGCTTGGTACACAGTGCCACAATGTCTAAATGTCTCTGGCATATAAGCAATCATCAAATGTGAGGCAGCGTGATGAAATCAGACGCTCGTCAAAATATTGAAATAGAAGAAACTGGCATGTTTTTGCGCTAGGCAATTTTTATCGATTTTTTTTTCTTTTGCCTGAACACCATTGTTGCCCAAGTAAGAACACATTTTTGGGTGGATTATTACTGAAAACGTTGATTAAATGCACAAAAAAGTAAGTGTTCAGTGTCCATGGACTATCTAGCTGTATGGAAATAACCAAACTTTGGCGGCCATTTTCTCGCTAATTCTACCTTTGAACACAGGCGACCAAACCTTCTTCAATCTCAAATATCTTGACTTCTATTTAGATTTATGGGCATTTTTTTTCCACCGATAGAAAGAAAACTGAACAAGCTTTAAGATAATACCAATAACTCCACATACTTCAAAAATTGACAAGCGCCTGATTCCACCACGTCGTGACACAAATAAAGATTGGGAAAGTATGAAGTCTTCAGAATTCGGTTCGTGAAGCCCCCCAGTACACACATCGGGAAGGATAGGATACGCATTCTTTTCCTGTACGCAAGTACCACGGTTAGGTGGAGCTGAACAAAGGAATAGGGGGGAGATATTATTGTCTTCAAAGCTAGGAACGGTTCAATAATCATAAAGCTCGGCCGGTGACTGTCTTTTGTTAGGATTTGTCTGTTTTCATAGTAAGAACCTTTTCCCCCCTTAGCCAAACGTTCGGCTGTGTGTTATAACACTGTTGTGGGGTCGACGTGTTGGTGATCGCTTGAAATGTCAGTCAGGGGTTGTGGTTCGATTGTCAAAGTCCCTACCCCATTCCCTCAATCTTCCCACGTCAAGTTATGGGGATGTATTTTATATGCGCTCACATCATGAACGCAGATAACTGTGGTATAATATTATAGTATGAACTCTGACTTCGTTTCACGACGTGGTGAAATCAGGCACTCGTCACTTTTGGGGCATAATATTGGGTTATTGGTACCATCTTGAAGCCTGCTTTTTTTGTGTGTGCCTTTCTTTTGATAAAAAAGTTTTCATCTATGTTGAATAGAAGTCAAAATATTTGTGAATGAAGCAGTTAGGGTAGCCAGGTTTCAGAGGTATAATTAGCGGGGAAATGGCCGACAAAGTTGGGTAACGTCCACAGCACGAGAGTCTTTGGAAACTGAAAATCTACATTTTTTGTGCCTTTAATCGATGTTTTTAAGTAAAATACACCAAAACAAATGTGTTTTTAAATGGGCATAAAAAGTGTTGAGCCAAAAAAGAAAATAAGAAAAAATAGCATATCGGCCAAAAAAATGTAGATTTCTTTGATTTCATTTTTTTACGAGCACCTGGGTTCTCCACGATCCATCACCATTTGTTTTGCAAGCAACTAAAGGGAGTTTGACTTAATTGAGGATCTCCGTTTATACACACAGTTTAAATGCTCAAAAGGTAGTTACGTCAGTATATACATGAATTAAATGTACGGCCAGGCGCCATTTACGGATCTTAAGGACTAAACATACGTGCTCACTATCGTGCTCGACTCCACTAGTATATCTAACTATGTTTCAGAAATAATAATGAGCTCCATTGTCCCTCCTTTCAAACCTTCATTTCTAGACTGTTAGGAGGCATATCAATGATGGCAAAGCTAAATTTATGCTGCGTGTGAATTGGCGTTTCAGTATTCCCAAGTCCGAGTACGAAGAGCGTATGTTCAGCTTACTCATCATCAATAAGATTCAGGATAAAAAGTTTCAAACATTTCCTTGATACATTAACCTGTTTGATACATGCCGCCGAGTGATTGCACAAAGCCCCCTACAGAGACAGCTACGTCATTCGCTCCCATGGCTTACCAAACTATACGTATTTACGCAAGGCAAACTCTTCAGAGAAAGGCATACCTACAGGTTATACGCAACAAAGTGGTTTTTCGATACGTCTTCTTACAAAAATGTTATGTTTGTTCTTTACACACGCAGTAGTACAATGTATTTATACGACAGGAACTTATGGTGTACTGGAAGTCTATAATCTGTGAATTTGTCTACACTGTTGGGACCATCGCAGACGAAACATATCCAAAGCTGCCTTTCCCTCCCTCCCACCCCCTCCCTCCCCCTCCCTCCCCCTCCATCTCTTTCTCTCTCTCTCTCTCTCTCTCTCTCTCTCTCTCTCTCTCTCTCTCTCTCTTCCGGATCCACCTTACAGTCTATAGGCTTATTTTAATATACAGTCAAACCTGTGTAAGACGGCCACCCATTGTCAAGGAGGAAAATGGCCGTATAATACAGGTGGCCGTCTTAGGCAGGACTGATCAAGATAAAGAAAACAAACCATTCCCATCTGAGGCCCCAATCGAAAGTAGCCCCATTGTTGTTGTCTTTGTTGGTGTTGTTGCTGTTGGTTTGTATTTCGTTTGTAATTTTTATTTTGTCGCTGATTTTGCACAATGGTGACAATAAAACGAAATGTATCAGACAAGGAAGACCGAGTGCCATGTTAAAACAAACACATGGGTCGCCACCACTCGGAGAACGAGGGACGCTTCTGTAACAAGTTCATGTTGACGTCCTTTGTTACTTTGTTACAGACTGGGTAAACAGTAACTACTCATCTCACTTACGATTTGTGTATGAGTTCTGGGCGGGGCTTATGGGTTATGAGGGATCACACGCTTACCTCACCTGCAGCTGAAAACTGGTAGCTATTGGTCAACAGTGGGAGGGGCCTACGCAACATGATCGGTTGGAGGGACTACCTCACAACAACGACAGGTGATTGAATTATGACGGCTCGACCACAACGCCAGGGGCCAATGCACAATTTATGACAAAAGGTAATGGGTTCACT